TTACCTAATGCACCTTAATATTCTATCTGTCTGAAGCTCACTATATACATCTATGTATATACATTTTCTTGCAATATTTATAAAAGATATGAACTGATTAAATATGAGATATATCTGTCATGGATATAAGATATCTGTCATGGATATACTAATCCACAACCAACGTTTGCCCAAACTAGGAAAAGGTAGGTCCATTTGGGGGGGTAGCATATATATGTATATATTATGCTTTTGATGTGCCGGATCCCTTGTTCTCTCTTGCCCTGCCCTCAATTGTACCTCCTACTGTATTTGGCTTTGTCCAAAAAAACATCTCAACAAATTGAGCCGGGCGCCAGAGCAAACCCAGCCATCCGTTCATCCGTTCGAGAAAGAGTCGGCGGACGCCGAGTTTCAGGGTCGGCTTTGCGTCGGTTGCGCAGAAGACGACGCAGGAGGAAGCTGCCGCAGGGAAAGAGATGCAGGTCGCTCGAACTGTGCCAGTCGAGAGGTGGGCACATTTGACCGAGAGGCGCGGAAAACAGCACGTCGAGTGGTGGGACAACGGATGGTGGGGCCACCCGTTGCGCCAGTGACCCCCCAAAAAAATACACCCTCACGCAGAGGCGCCCCCGAAGGACCCGAAGTGGCTAAGCCTTCTTCGGTCCGGAGTGTTTCCACGTGTTTTCCGAAGGGCGAAGGGCGAAAGAGCATCTTCGGAAGCATTTTTGAGCACCCAAGTGATGTTGCGGTTTCGACCCAACGAACGCAGCGAGGATGAAAGAATTGGTCGATCCCGAAAACACCTCGCAGGTGACCTGCGGAAGACCAGATACCTGACAAGGTGCTCCATCGGAGCTTTAGTGGTCTCAGAGAAGCATCACACTCAAGTATGTTAAAATGCATTCAACCAAACAAATAAATAAGCAACAACTCTACCAAAGCAGTGAAGCAGCCTGTTGCGTAAGAAAGAAGCTCCAGAATCTGCCAATCTTCAGGTCCACTGGTCCACTTCGCCGTATGTCGTTTCCATGGACTCGTAGCTCGCGTCCCCGAGGGGTTCCATTGGATACTAGTAGCAAGAAGCTACAAGTAGCTCCTGGAATTACTACTAGGAACAAGAAGCTACTAGTAGCTCCTGGCATTACTAC